CTTACACAGTAGAGACCATAAAGTACAGAGATCAGTAGCTCAATGTGAGTCTATGTCGCAGACCCACAGTAAGCTGGAGACACATGGGAGAAATGCTATGACCTTGTCTGCTCTTCAATGACAATTGGAGGGAGGGTTAGAGAAGGTGAGGGCCATCCACTCACACTCTAGTTATTGACATGCTGTGAGGGCTTGAGTGAGTAGGTATTAGTGAAAAGACTGTAGCTGAGGCCAGGGGTGCTGGAGAGAAAGCTCAGCAGCTGTTCAGTTTCCAGGACCCGAAAAGTGAAGTACACCTTTGTCTGCAACTACAGTACCCTGTAATCTGAAGCCCTCCCGCGATCTTCAAAGACACCTGCACTCACGCATACTTCACCCTCCCGCATACACTCCACATAATTAAAAATAATACATATATATGTCTATGTGTGTATGTATGTATTTCTTTAAGAATTGGAGAGAGAAGTATACCTTCTCCGACTACAACACCTGCTTGCTTGTACTGTTTAGAGTTGTTTCACATGCATTGAGTGTTTACCATATTCTAGGCATCATATGGGTTTTTACAGGCTTTAGCCTTTCCACACCCTGCATGTCCTGACCTGCAGGAGGGGATGTGGGAGGGTTGAGGAGCTGATTCATCATGTCCTCTTTCATGGGGTGCAGTCCTTGTGTGCACATTATAAAAGGCCATGGATGACTGCGCAAGGAAGTCATCAAATGTTTTCATGGATGAGATTGTTTTAAAAATTCTCTCAGAAAGTTTGACAATGCAAGCAACGAATAAGATGTGCTGGGCAGGAAACTGGGGAATCAAAGGTTCCTACTTTCAAGCCTATGTAACTGGAAGGACACAGTGGACGTAAGAAGCTTGGGGGGACCTCATCTGATAGGGTAGCAAAATGTATCTCTCTTTTTTACAATGAAGAGTGTTAAGAGTGTTATCAGGAGAACTCACAACCTATAAGCTCCTAGACACCCAGTCTTCTCTTAGGGCTCTATTGCTTAAAGAGGCTCCAAGGGCACAGGAGGAAAGAACATTTTACTCCAGAAGTCACAACAATGGTGGACCAGACATCGGCTTGGGGCTAAAACTGTAGGTCGGTGGTATGCACTTGCCTTACATGTAAAAGGCCCCAAGGTCAAGCCCCCACAATGGAAAACAACACCCAACAGGAATTTTTATTTGGGGCCAAGAAAAGGGGGTAGAAACAGAGACTAATAAAGAAGGCTACAGTCAGAGTCAGATTTTACATGAGAGGATCAGAACAAAGATTAAGAATTCAAATCTTGGAGTAACTGTCAAAACCAGGAAAGTAAAAAGGGGACTATTACTGGGGTAGGGGTTGGGGAAGCAACAGAGGATAAGGAATAGCAGGGTACAAGTGATCTGATCAGGGAAGTGGAGAAAAGGAGGGGGCTCTAATTAGGGCAGGGTGGGAGATACATACAGAAGGAGGAGGGAGGAGAGTAAAATAACAGTAAAGACATCTGAAAAAGTCCTAAGAAATCATACATTAACTATCTTCCTAAAAAAAGGTATTACATCAAAGTCTGAGTATAAATATACATACATAGCTTAAGTGAATTTTCTCACCTGGGTTAACAATGCTCCCTCCAAGAGCCAAAGACCATAGAGCAAAAACCCAACACCCAGGTACGAGAAGCCTGTTTGTGTTATTGGTTGAGGGCTGTCCAAGAGACTCCCAAAACATTAGAGGCTATTGCTATTGTCCTTGGTTGTCCCCCAGAGGAAGACAGTAAGTCCCTATTGCTGAAGACACCATGCACTTCAGAAATAGAGCCTGGATGTCACTGACTTGACTCCTTGAGGACTAGCTTTCTTGGTACCGGAAGGGACCATGCAGGCTTACAAAGGAGGAAAGCAACCAACAGTCCTACCTACCCATGATTACCTATAAATCAGCAACCAGCATGGCATGATAACCCTAAGGATGCCGTAGTGGCACACGTGCCTGAATGGTAACCAACAGCTCTCTCATTGAACCTAAGATCCACCAAACAAGAAGGACAATATGCCTGGTACTGGAAAGCTAGACAACTATCAAGAGCCATGGAAGTTATGGATCTTGGAGGAGAATGTAAAACCTCCACTTTACTAAACCAGCATACCTATCAACAATCTAAACCCTTGTCCTTATACCCACAGATAAGTATAATCTTCACCCCTTATCAACAAAACTTCTCTTTGCAACAGAAAACCACAATCAAATCAAAAAACAGAGTTATGGAGCCCAGCCCCAAGTGGATACATCTACAAAACAACTCCCTCACCTAAGGCTCAGGGAACATTACAAAAGAGGGGATAGACAGATTATAAGAGTCAGAAGGTCGGTGAGTTAACTGTGAGGCTGTGTTTCCCGGTACTGTCAGAAGCCACGCCCATAAAGTCTCATCAGCATGACTGTCTAGACATGAGCTGAACAAGGACAATAGACATAGTAAAGTGGATGGGGGACAGAGGAGGAGTCCAGGAAGCTTCAAACATACACAAAGAACTACAGCAACTAAGGAACGCTGAGCGTGAGAGAAAGATTTCCCCATGGAAGAGCATACCAAGTGGTCAGCCCTGCAAATACATATACAAATAACCTTATACAGTATACAGATTGAGTAGGTTATATGGTGATATTTTATTTGTATTAAAATGTTATTTGTATGTTAATAAATAAAGTTGCCCGGGGGTCAGAGCTATTAGCAAGCCATAGGAAAGCAGGGCAGTGGTGGCGTACTCTTGTAATCCCAGCACTTTGTAGGCAGAGCTGGGTAAGTCTGTGTGTTCAGGGATACAGCCATTATTGGATGCACATGCCTTTAATCTCAATACCAATCATGGAAAACCTGGAGGCCTATACAGACAGGCCGTGAGGAGGCAGTCATGTGGTTGGGTTTACAACCAATGAGAAGGCAGGACAGGAACTCTATATAAAGACTTTAACACAGGGGTAGCTCTGGTTTGGAGAGGTAGGACCACTGCAGGAGGAAGGGTAAGGTTTTAGCTCTTAGCTCTGACCTCTTGGCTTTCTTCTTTGCATTGGTTCTGTGTTTCTTCTACAAGGTTATATTTAGCAATAAGTATGTATATGCAAATACATATATATGCATCCAGTAACAACAAAAAAAAGAGGTCATGAATTTGAAAGAGAGCAAGAAGGGCTACATGGAAGAATTTGGTGGGAGGAAAGGGAAGGGGGAAATGATATAATTTATATTATAAATCAAAGAATATTCTTAAAAAGCTCACATCAAGATGAGAAATTTAAACAAGAAAACTACAGCAGTAGAAAATGGTTAGAGAGAAACCCCAAATAAAACTTCACTGAACCTCCCTGGAAGGCTGAGGCAGGAGGATCATGAATTTGAGGCTAGCCTGGGCTGTATAATGAGATCCTGTCTTAAAAAGAAAAAAAAAAAAAAAGAAATAATTAAACTCACTGACAACAGAGCGCCATTGGTTTTCTCCTTGTGAAGATGTGTCACATCCATTTCTCTGGGAAAAGTCCCTAAAATTTTGCCTCCTGATACAATGATGGCTAATTAAGAAGCTTCCCTTCCTTGTTAGTGGTCGCAAGACTTATCACTCTGATTCCTGGGCTATAAATGAGTAAAACAGAGCCTCTGTGACTTCAAGAGTGAGATGTAGAAACAATTCTGAGCCATGAAGTCCCAAAGTCCATCCCAGGTAAGATGCTGGTCATGCTTCTGGGATAAATGGACAGGGGCAGGTGGCAGACAGCAACAGAATGGAGTCTGCAGCTGTGATGACTCCCCCAAGTATCTGCAGCATCAGCAACAGCTGTCCAGATGCACTCAGTGCAATTCTGCAACAAGTCTTCATGAATGGACTCATCCTTGCCCGAAGTCCTTCTGAGCTCTCTTCTCCCCTCTCAACACAAGGTAGGAAAGTAGGCCTAGAGAGTTTAAATGGCACCTCAAAGCCTGTGCCCAGTAAGGATAACAATGGGATTTGCAACAGGGAAACCACTCTGGAGCCTGTGTACTGTGGATTGCTGTGCTGACTAGAAAGAACCACAGACTTGCAGTAATCCATTGCTAATGTCTGGCAGGACAGGTGGGAGAGCAGCTGAGGAAGGGCCTTCTAGGTAAAGTTTTAATTCAGAGGGCTTCAGAATTATCAACCATATAAGAAGTGGATATTCTTCTGTCCATCTGCCTGAACCTGGTACGTCAACAGCATGACCAACTAGGCAGTCCTGTGCAGATGCTTCAATGTTTGCAGATGTGTTCTAAACAACTGCACATATGAGATTCAGTCATAATTGATCATTATGAAAACACACATTCTCAAATGGCAAATGTCAACTCAAAGCAGCCTCCATTGTCCCATTTTCTTAATTGATTACTATTGGTATAAAAGGGGATATATATAGATATATATATATATATAGATATATATAGATATATATATATGATATATTTAAAATAATTTATTATTATTAGGGGTAAGTTTAGGTAGACCATTTTATATGACTTTTATTCTTTTTTTTTTTTTTTTTTGGTTTTTCGAGACAGGGTTTCTCTGTGTAGCTTTGCGCCTCTCCTGGAACTCACTCGGTAGCCCAGGCTGGCCTCGAACTCACAGAGATCCGCCTGGCTCTGCCTCCCGAGTGCTGGGATTAAAGGCGTGCGCCACCACCGCCCGGCTACATTTTTCTTTTAATTCAAGTGTCTCTTAAATATACTAGGTAAGAATTCTAAAGTTATCTTCTATCTTAAGATGATAAAAATAAATAACAGAGTATGCAAATTAGCCAGTGCATCACAGGAATAATATCGAGTGTGTTGGTAACAGTGTACCAGGTATCTCTGTGGATCCAGCTAATTCTATGATCTCAATAACAGTCGCTGGAAAATGGAAGCTGGTTCCCTGTGTTATAACCACTCACACCATATGAGACCCAAGAGTAACAGACCCACCTCGCTGCTTAAAGTCGCTAAGTTCCCTTTATCATCACCACTAGCACACAACCATTTTGTACATAATTTATTAAAAATAGCTGAGAAATATTTTTGACTGAATAATAATGACTCTACAGCAAACACAGTTGTATTCCAAATTTTTCCAAGTGTTGGTTCTGAAAAATAATTGTTATAAGCCAGCCTGGTGAATTCAAGACAGACACACCGTGAATAATCACATGCATCCGAGTTGCACCTAGAATACCCGTGCATTTAGTGTAAGCACTGAGCTCACTGACTGCAGGAAGTATGACCTCTGATCTAGAATTTGGTTGGCTATGAAGTTTACTCATGTATATATTCTTAAAAATTTTTAAAGTATTTGGCCCATTTCTGTATTTGGTAAAAACTGTAATTACAAACTATTTTTTAAAATAATTTTACAATCATGTAATTGTGACTAGCTATATCATCTAAAAAGGTATGAAGTCACACACCATCACTATTTCCCACTTCCAGTGTCCTTGAATTAAAGACAGAGATCGTAAATATGCTAGTCTACACTAGGTAGCCACATCCTACTTCTAACCACATTATTGTTTCTGTTATATAGAATGTTGCTTCTAATAGATTATGGAAGAGTCCTAAAGTTTCCATGGAAAAATTAAAAGTTCTTCACACTAAGGACAGAAATGAATCAATTACCAAAAATTTCAAAACAAAGTTACTATTACATTGACCTTAAGAAAACTGACAATGCATATCTTACATACCACAGAAAGACTATTTTATGAGAAGAGACAACTTTTAAGAATATTTTGGATTCTTCAACCCAAGTACAAGTTTCAAAATCAGATAGGAGAGAGAAAGAGAAAAAGAAGTGGAGAGGGGATGGGGGCGTAGACCATTTGGTATTTCACAGAAAAAAAACTTTTAAGAGTAACAAAAAATACAATTTAAAGAAGTTTTGAAATCTAAATTTAACTGACAAAGTCAGTACAAAGGAGATGTAGATTCAGTGTAGGGTTTTACCCAGAACAGAACCTAAAAGCAACCCCACTGGAATGGAACTGCACACACACACACACACTCAATGGCTGCCTGACAATCTACCTTGGCACTGTGAAGCCAGGCCAAGTTACAAGAATATCACAAATGAAGACACAGTATATACAGTGTAGAATGTTTGGGAAAACAACAGTTTCCAAGCACCATACGAACAATCAATTAATCCATTGATTGGAGATAACCATTTCTACAGTCTCCAATTGGGTTATAGGTCAAGTAGTCCATAAATAGACTCAGATCCATTAAATTTTATTGCACTATAAGTTGGCTGATGTCATTATGCCCAATGTAAACAATAATGCAAATTCCCTTAAAGTTTCCATCTATAGATGACACCTGGGTAAAAAAAGAAGTAATTAAAACCCATGCAGAACAGTTTTCAAGTTCAAGTGTACTAATGTACAAAGTTTCTCTGTAAATGTGCATTTCCATGAACATTCTGCAGACCAAGGCAGGTTGTGGGGGAAGCCCCAAATATAATAAAACATCTTTTTTTTTTTTTTAAATCCTGGTTTATATTTAAAAGCAGTGAGGAAAAGGTATTAAGTCCATTAGTTTGGGTATCCTGTTCAAAGTTCTTCACCTCTTTGCACATACTTCTGCTAATGTCCTAAATTTGGGCTCCAAATGGTCCAAAAACTCAAGCCCATCTTCTTCCTGTTGGTCACTACAGCAACCCACAGAGCCAGCAGCGGAACCGCTTCCTTCATAGTTGTACGTGAGGACGTAGTCTTGAGCGAGCTGTTGGTTGTCATCCTCAAGGCACAACCGCACCTTCTGTCGGGGAGAAAGCACAACACAGTTTATTTTTATTATTTTAAGCACCAAAACGTACTTACAGAAAAAGAATTGCTTCGATTTACCTTTCATTGTTTAATATTTAATCAGAGTGTGTCCTCTAATGGTTTCCTATGTGTAGAAAATGCACATGATTGGTCTGTATCATAAAATCACACCATAAAGTCAGTATTTATTAGCACGCTTCTAAAAGTCATGAGTGGCAGTAAGTCCCCAAGTGTTCATCTTAAGTGGCCATTGCTTCCCTCTTTCTAAATAATGATAAAAGTGAAAACACACTCAGTAAACTGGACCCAAATTGATATGAGCTCCATTCTTTCTGAACAGCAAAGTGACGGCACATATTGGTATTGCCTTGTGCTAGAGGTTGGGTTGCTAAAACAAAATTTGTCAGATGCAAAATCATAGCACAAAATTATTTCCTTAACTAGTAATAAAAGCCATCAGGTGGTGATGGTGTGTACCTTTAATCCCAGCACTCAGGAGGCAGAGGGAGGCAGATCTGAGTTTGATGCCAGCCTGATCTACAGAGCAAGTTCCAGGAAAACCAGGGCAACCATGTCTCAAAATACCAAAAAGCAACAAAACAAAAAAAGAGTAATAAAATATGCAGGAAAGTGAATGACCACATTAATCTGAACATAATTAAAACCCAAATTAATTAAAAATAGTAACTTTCCAATAAGTCAATTCATTATTAACTAAAAGTAGCAGTCTACACAAACACTAAGTTGGAACCTTTTGTAAAATTAAATGATATCAGCCTAAGTTTGGGGAACAGCTCAGGAACTCACTTCACCAAGTCGGGGCTGAGTGAAATTGTGCCACTCGGAGTAAGTGTGTCTGTAGCTGTCCACCTCCACGAGTCCTCCTCTGCAGGGATCCAGGGTGTGGTGATGGTACCCAGCCCCCCGGCAGGACTCTAGGGTCTGGTGGCCGCCGCCTTTCACCATCTCAATGGTCTCTTGCCCTCCGCTTTTGACTCCTGCTCCCAAGGTGCCAAAAGCTGCCTGCCCAGAAGCTCCCACAGCTTGAGTTGTGAAGCCATTTGCGGAATACTGAAACGATAATGGCGGACATCAGTTAAATATACAGAGGAGCAAAGGGCAGTAAGAAGGACGAGCAGGTGCAGATGAGGCCTCGACTTTAGGTCGGCATTACAAAAGGGAATCTTTCCAAAGACACGGACGGACTGGATCTGTTCTTTCCAACTGTCCTTTCAATCCTCGGTAGCTCTAGCACATGCCCTGTACTAGATGCCACGTCTAACACATGAAACAAGCTGCAGGTGCAAATCAAAATGCTTGATGGGGATTCCACTTTTAAACACTCCTTAGCATACAGGACACGGTCCGTTACAGCCTTCCAGTGCCTTGAAAGCAGCATTGCTGTATCACAGGGATTAACTTTCTCAGTTAAACACGTTCCCCTTTATCAGGTAGGAGAAGAAACAGGAATAATGAGAAGCTTTCTCAGTCAACAACGAACTCAGTTCCTCCCAACTCAAATACAAAGAAAAATTTACTACAAACGTGTAATCCTTGCAGTCTCATAAACCAAACAATAAACCAGGCAGGGCAATACCAGAAATGCCAACACACTGGCCCTTCCTCTGCCAGGTTGTGTGTTTACACTCTGCAATATAATTTAAGTTTTTTTTCCTCGGTCTTTTTCTCAGATATGGTTAGGTTTTTTGTGTTGTTTCTGTTGTTTGTGTGTTTGCGCTTCTAGACCTTTCCTGCCCAGCCATCAGTTGGGCTTTTTGGAAGTTAGTGGCTTATTCTTCCTTCACACACTGGGCTAGGAACTCAGAGCCCCTCAGCAGCCTCTCGCTTCTGTACTGCTTTAGACCGCCCGCCTCCAGCTCATTTCTAACCCACATGATAGTCAGGAAGAATCCAATAAACCTTTTCCCACCGTGATCAAAGTTGGTAGAGGTTTTATTGCTGGAGCCAGGTTTAAAAAAAAAAAAAAAACAATTATACTGGTGATCTGTGAGTAATTAAGAGTAATGTTTTAAAGTATAAACAGCAATTTAGATAGATTTAAAAAAAACAAAAAACAAAACACAGGCCTAACATTGAAGCCAGGAGACACATGGAACAGAAAAAAAAATTCATACTAAAGGATTTTTCAATATTAAGTAGCAACTGCATGGCCAAATTGAAATACCACACATCTGTGGGAACTATATGCATTTTATTGATTTCCTGGGATGGGTAACACTTGCTGCTGAATTACTAGACACCAAAAGAAGTTTGTTGAGAAAACAAAACAATAAAACTGGTTTTAGAAGGAACACGTCCTATAGGCTAATGGTCCTCTGTTTAAAGATGGGTGAGTGACTTACAATTTTGTCATCTCCAGGAGCCTCGGTGTTTGACACGATTAGGTTCTGCTGCGCTAAGTCATCTGGAAGAATTTTCTGCTCTTTTGTTGCCTGGGAAACACTGCAGACTAATGTAAACAGGATACCTGGAGAAGGAAAGAAAGGAAGGGGCTCCCTTAGGTCTCTCACCCATAATGTCCAACTGTGTTTACAGCATCTGATATGAATAAATCAGGCATCAAAAGGTGTCTGTTGAATACCTTCAAGAACATATGATTGCGTGAGTAAATGCATGAGTGTCCTTAACAGATATGCTACAAACACATACCACATGATCTATTTCTACAGTGAACTGTATCTTCTGCTGAGGATACACATAAGTACATTTAAACATATACATTAAATACATGAACTGCTGAGGGGGCTCAGTAGGAAAAAGTGCATGCCACCAAAACGGATGACCTATGGTTCCTCCCAGAGTCCCACAGACTCCTGAAAATTGTTCTCTGACCATCACACAGGGCATCTTCTCACTGACATAAGATAGATATATGTAAAAAATCTGAAATACATGTTAAATATATTGTTAATAGAAATATATCTATGTCCAAACTGCAACCTATAGGTATTAACATTCATTCTAAGAATATGTCTTAAAATTATTTTGAAGGACTCAAGAAAGCACTTACAAAACAGCAAGGCTATGCCCAACAGTATAGCCAGAATAGCCCAGGGTCCGAGCCTCACGTCTGCATAGCCGGCCCTTTCTCCTGAGCGGGTTGTGCAGTCACTTTCAGTAATGCAGTCACAAACAATGACGTTCAGTGAAGTGACTGAGGACAGACCGAGCCTGTCTGTAACTCGGATAGGAACTACGTAGGATCCAAATGAAGGGTCATTCTGATAGGACAGACGAGCCGCTGTATCTGAATAAACAAATAAAATCAGGTGTTACAAAAGCCACCAACATCTCTTCAGCAAAACCAGTCAGTTATCAAACAGATATCCATGTTCCTACAAATGGACACTTGTGGAATATCATAAATGCTATGACCCTGAAGCTGTGGTTGAACTGAATGCTCCTGACCCACAGCCACTGGAAGCACACTGCCTCTGGCCCACGGCCACTGCAAGCACACTGCCTCTGGCCCACAGCCACTGGAAGCACACTGCCTCTGGCCCACGGCCACTGCAAGCACACTGCCTCTGACCCACGGCCACTGCAAGCACACTGCCTCTGATCCACAGCCACTGCAAGCATACCGCAGTTTCAGTTAGTCTAATGGTGCCTGCAATGGTTAATTTCCACTGCCAACGTGGCAGGAATTTAAAATCCCCTAGGAGACACACTTCTAGGCACACCTGAGGGCATTTCCAGAGAGTTTAAGTGATGAGGGAATACCCACATTGAATGCAGGTGGCGCTATCCTGTGGGCTGGGGTCCTGGAGTTGAAAAAAAAAGGAGGAAAAGAGCACTACACCAGCATTCATCTCTCTCTGCTTCCTGACTGTGGATGGAATGTGGCCAGCAGCCTCAAGCTCCTGCAGCCATGCCTTCCCACCATGGTGGGCTGTGCCCTCAAACCACGAGCCAGAGGAAAACTTTCCTTCCATAAGCTTCCTTCCTTGTTACTGTGTCACAGCACTGAGGGAAGAAACTAATACACCACCTCTGTTGCAGTCCTTCTGCTCTTGGAATAAAGTACTTTATTCGTTCATAAACAAATCCTTCCTACCATAACTAACAGATGTGGTAAGAGGTTAGTTTCTGTCCTATTTTTAATATATTCAATTAAACCCATTATATTAGATTTCCATTCATGTGTGACTCATCAGGGAGTTAGAGATCTGAAATTTTGGTGTCTCTCATTTGTTTTCACAAATTGTGCCAAATGGACACGAATACTTGTGGTTTATCAACAAGAACTGGTTCTGACAGCTTGGAACACGTTCACTTCATGGGCAGCACGTGAACGCACCACAGGAACATAAACACACTTATGCTGAGAGGACACTGGGGCCAACTGAATTTTTTTGTTGCTGTTTTGGTTTTGATGGATTTTTTTTTTTTTTTTTTTTTAGATCAAAAGCAGTAAATATCCAGATCAAATGCCGGTAGGATCTCAGGCTCAGAGCCAAAGATGTAATATGATTCTCACTGTCGAATGCCACAAGCCACAGAGCAATCAGTGTTACTTAACTTCCCAGTGTGGCCTGCTCGTTTTCTCTATAGTGTTTGAAGTTCCCAATATGAACTTGGCTTCCTAGGAGAAGAAATCACAGAACCAGGATTTCAATAGAAACCACAGTTATCGATTCAGTGCATTGCGCAAGACAAAATCATGAGCCAACACACAGAATGGAGAGTGAGTCATGCTCTATTCCTTTCATTATCTTGTTGACTTCAAGAAATAATCCAATTTTACACATGAGTAAACTGATGCTCCCAGAGAATAAATACCATAGTCAGATTTATGTAACAACTTGTGGATCCGGCGCTTGACATGAAGCCCATGTAACCTCTGTTGGGTACATTCTCCTCACCCCGGAATTTCCCAAGCTTTCATGAATGTTCAAGAACTGGTATTTTTAAAATAACAAAGCTCTGGAGCTGGGTTACAGCTCAGTGGAAGAACACATGGTCAGTATGTGCAAGACCCTGGGCTCAGTTCTGGTGCCACAGAGACAAAGTGATACAAGGGTTCTGACTAGAACATTGTTGCCAAAAATGTTAATTGGCTGAGCAGAAATTTTTAAAATCCCACATTTTCTCTTAATGCCATTTAAACTAAAACACTCTGACCTCAATTAAGTAGGATGGACAAAATCCAAGAACAAAGTTATTTTTTCCTAAGAAAGAACAAATAGCCGGGCGGTGGTGGCATACACTTTTGATCCCAGCACTTGGGAGGCAGAGCCAAGTGGATCTCTGTGAGTTTGAGGCCAGCCTGGTCTACAGAGCAAGATCCAGGACAGGCACCAAAACTACGCAGAGAAACCCTGTCTCGAAAAACCAAAAACAAAAACAAAAACAAACAAGCAAAAAAGAACAAATAAAAATCTCTCTCCTCTTCCCAAGACATACAAGATAACATTGTTTTAAAATGTGAATGTCGCCAGGCGGTGGTGGCGCACGCCTTTAATCCCAGTACTTGGGAGGCAGAGCCAGGCAGATCTCTGTGAGTTCGAGGCCAGCCTGGGCTACCAAATGAGTTCCAGGAAAGGCGCAAAGCTACACAGAGAAACCCTGTCTCAAAAAACCAAAAAAAAAAAAAAAATGTGAATGTCTTGTCAGTCTACAGATCATCATGGTTGAAGACAGGGTGCCTCGGCTTGCTTGGTTATGCCCATGGTTTTCTTTCCCCATCCTTGGATCTGCCTGTATTGTTTTCTTGTTTTCTGTTTTTTAACTTTCCTTTTACTTTGTCCTATCAGGAATCTGAGACATGACCACTGAGAGCTGGGGTTGAAATAATTTGGAGTTTTCAAGTTTCAGGTCACCCAAAAGGTGACTGAGGTTCTTGAGTTAAGAAGCTATGAGGCCATGACCTCACAGTCCGTGGCAGTACGTCTAGGAGACAAGAATGAAGTTCTGGTGTACGTGGGATGCAATGTGGCAGTGGAGAAAAGTCGCTTTAACCTCAGCCATTTTTTTTTTTGTTGTTGTTTTTTTGTTTTTCGAGACAGGGTTTCTCTGTGTAGCTTTGCGCCTTTCCTGGGACTCACTTGGTAGTCCAGGCTGGCCTCGAACTCACAGAGATCCTCCTGGCTCTGCCTCCCGAGTGCTGGGATTAAAGGCGTGCGCCACCACCGCCCGGCTAACCTCAGCCATTTTTGCACCAAAGGTCCCTTCTGGGCTACGGTCCACTGCGAACCAAAGCGAGGAAGATTTCCAAAAAGAACACACTAGACACAAAACAGTGAGATGTCAGCACGGCCACAGAGAGAAGCAGTGGGGGGGGGGGGGGGGGGGGAGGGGGGTAGACACTGTCAGAGAACAGATACCTCTACAAGGAGGGGCTCACTGTCCCAGCTGCTGCCAGGCCAGCAGTTACAAAACATCCATGCAGGTGAGTACTTGGATGTGAATGGGAGTCTACGGAATACCTGATATCATCAACAGCTAACACTGGAGAGGGTCACTGCCTATTATGCCGAGACTCACGTCTTCTTCCTGAGTGGTTCTCATTTAATGAATTTTTCTCTTATTGCCAGAGGAGGGGGAAGAGAGAGAGAGAGAGGGGAGAGGGAGGAGAGAGACAGACAGAGGGGAGAGAGAGAGGAGAGAGAAAGAGAGAGAGAGAGAGAGAGAGAGAGAGAGAGAGAGAGAGAGAGAGAGAGAGAGCAGCCTGATGTTGAAAAGGAAAAGGCAATATTTGAAATCACACACCATTGATTCTCGTCAGCCTCCACATCCGCCGTACTTCTGAATCAGAACTCTCCAAACTAAAATCAAAGGGCGGGCCATTCACTGGCTCATCAGGATCAACTGCCACAATTTCAGCAGAGGACGTGGTGGGCTTACATATCACCACCGTCTGCTTGGGTATGAATGGGCCGTTGTCATTCACATCTTCCAGAATAATTCCCAGAGTTCCGGTACAGCTTTTCCCATCTAGACATAGAGCAATAAGAACACATTTTTTAATGCCTTTATTTTTTTGCTAGAAAATCATACAATGAAAATTAATATCTATATTTATTAATCACAATGCGTAAGTTACAGCAACAATGACACAGGGAAATCTTACTGCTTCCAAGTGGACTATACATATAATCACTGGTACTTGGACATTTTCATCCATTCACTACGTCATTACATTAGGCGTGGAAAGTCCTAGACAGAGAAGTTTCAGTTGATTTGAAGAGACAAAAAGAGAGTAGGGTAGGGGTACACAGTATGCTTAAAGTGCAGGTAAATCAAGAGTGTGGACAGCATGTCACACATACCTGTGATGTGGAGAAAATGGAGAAGAAGGCAGACGGGAGTTGACACAGACAAGAGCTAAGGACCTTGAATACACAGAGAGAATGCTTAAGTTTTTAGAGCAGGCATGCTGTATAGTAGAAGATATGTATTTGGAAAATTTAAACAGAAAATGGTTCAAGGAGATGTTTGAAGGGTGGAGGGACATTTCCAAATGTAGAAATTATCGCTATGGGTGTAGTCTCATAAATAGCATGTCATCTATTTATTAAATAAACGGAACTTAGGACTGAGGGTGTAACTTCTGTAATTAACCTGTCATTCATATATACAGAAATCTTCCTGATAGCTCTATACAAGGCATTGGGAAGTCTGGGACACACAAAGATGAAACAATCAAGGGCCTGGGGAGGTTATGAAGTCTAAAGCCAAAGATGAAACTAGGATTCCTATCTCTAAACCTTCTGTTCTTTCTACTCACTAAGGAGGATTTGGATACTAGAGATGGAGGAAGAGGAAAAACTGAACCACCCAGTGCCTGGGGTCACGTCCCACATACAGCTGCCAACCTAAGGAAGTGGAAAGAAACTAAGCTTGCCTGGCAACCAAAGCCTTAGCCAAGGCCCCTGTGGCATGGTGGCTGGATCTCGGCAGCTCTAAAGCCATCACAGGCTCACAGGCTAGGCGCGCCATGCCACCAGGTTAAGAACCAGTTCTGAACCGCAGACCGCAGAGACGGATGTTCAGGTCACTACAAAACTGCCTGCCAGTTAAGATGGAGTGAAGCCGGAGGAGGGAAGCCAAAGGCAGAGCAGAGCACATGCCCCCATCAATGCCAGGATAGGTCCCACATGAGGAACATTAATGTAAACAACAAAATCACCAGTAGGAAGATGAAGTCACTCTACATGAGAGCTTTGAAACAAGGACACTTAAGATCTTCAAGGACATGAAGAAGGGAATTTATTAAACAGAAATGAAATCACAGTTCAAATCCCTGTAGAAATCAAACAGCAAAATTCATCTAATACATATTTGGGAAGAGGAAGGAATAGCAAAGAAATAATATTTAAGGAGAGTCACTGCTGAGAATATTTGAGTTAATTCAGAGAAAGCTGTAATACCTAAATTATCTTCTAAAATCACAATACAACTTAATTTTGCAAGTTAGAGCATAATGAGGTATGCTTATTTAATTGTATATTTATTTTACAAATGCACAAACTTCAATTGGAGACAGTGTCCTTGGTTCAAGCTGGCCTCAAACTTACTATGTAATTGAGGCTGGCCTTGAATTGATTCCACTGCCTCCAATACCCAAGTACTGGGATTGTCAATATATACCATGCCCAAACAAAGATATCATAACAAAATTATGTTTCACACACTGAGTGGGTCTTATATACACAATTACTATACTCATTTTTCTCTGATTTTTTTCCAGGATGCACAATACATAGTATTATATTTTATGTTCTTATATGGTGTAGGGTTAGTTCTAATTGTCAGCTTGTCATGAAGTAGAAATACATTGACCTGTGGGCATGTCTGGTGGGGGGCTGTCTTGACTACCTTAATGGAGGTGGGTAGACCCAGCTATCAAGTGGTGGCACCAACCCTCGGTTTCGAACCCTGGACTGTACAAGGGTGGAGAGAGCTAGTTGAGCACTAAGCATACATGCTTTCATTCTTTCTGCTCTTGACCGTGGCTATGACTACCTGCTTCTTGCCTTGACCTGCCTGAAATGATGGACTGTAACCTGGAATCATGAGTTAAAATGAATCCTTTCTCCTCCAAGATGCTTTTTATCTGGTCATTTCATCTTAGCAACAGAAACAAAAGCGAAATACTTTGACCCTCTCATTCTCTAACACACTATTAATTGTGACTGATTTAATTTTGTATAATGTGCTTAGTTGGGATTCTAACCCCTAAGTATACTGTTAGCGTCCTATAAAATATTTTGTTTTCTAGAAGTGTACTATGTGACTAAATACCTTCTCCCTCTTATGGACTCTCCTGAATGTTGCAAGATAAATGAATACATTTTTCTGAAATAGTTTTCTCAGGTTTTTATGCTTCTTAGATCAAATTAATTTTTCTTTTAATTTTTATTGCATTTGTTTCATTATTAAGAATGACATTGTAGGTCAAAAGACAACTTTCAGAAGTCCATTCTCTCCTTTCACCTGGGGATCAAACTCAGGTCATCAGTAGCAAGGACCTTAAAACAGCAGAGACATCTCACTGGCCACATCTTAAACCACATTATCTTATAATTGCATCTAATACTGAAGATACTATTAGCTGACAATATTTAGTAAATGACAGGAAACTTAATTTATTAACTAATTACTCTGTATGTTATTCTGGGGAAAAATAAACTGAGAATATATAGAGCCAGTTTTAAATCTTTGTTTGGTAGGCCAGGCATGATGACAAACACCTTTAATCTCAACGCTTGGAAGTAGGTGCAGATGTATCTCTATGAGTTCAAAGCCAATAAATTCTCCATAGAGGGGTCCAGGCTTGCCAAGGCTACACAGTGAGACACCGTCTCAAAAGATTAGGTATGCTGTTGGGCTTGGGGTAGGGCTTGGTAGCAGAGTGCTTTGCCTAGCATCTGGAAGACCTGGTTTGATCCTTTGCACCATGAGATTAAAATGATATGTCATTGACTTTAAAACTGAGGAAGTATACAATTGAAGATGCAGTAGCTGTCTTAAAAACAGATTTCTTACCTGCATCTAATGCAAGCACTGTAATATTATAGATGCCATTTCTGACAGTCTCAGCCTCTCGATCCAGGGTTCGGGAAACAGTGATTGATCCTGAGTCTTCATTAACAGTGACCCACCCTCTTGGGTCACTTAACTTCCTGTACCTATGAAGCATGGTGAAGTAACACAGCAAGAAATATTATAAGCCAAACCGTAATGCCAATAACAAGTCATGGGCTCCTCTCGTGTTATAAATGTGAAAGGAACAAGAACACAAATACCTTATGCCACTGCTGCTTTTGGTCTCGGGGTCGTACGCCTTATACCCATCATTTCTAGTACCAGCTGGTACGTTTTCTCGAATCCGCACGGTTTGTGTTGGAGGGATACACTCGGGGCCCTCATCCAGATTTTTCACGGTGACAGTCACTGTGGCTGTGCTTGTGGGGGACCTCGCACTAGCCTCTCTAGTGTACGGGGCTTCATTAACTACACCGATTTGCAGAGTCACCTGTTGCTGGATTTCATAGTCCAGAGGCTGCAGGAAATGTGGGGGAAATCAGATCAAACCCTTGAAGAGCTGGTAAAGTTCTCCATATAGGACTTGCTGAGTTGGAATCAGGTAAGTACCAGATTGGGAACAATCACGAGAATATTAAACATAGGCCTGAACCATGTGCGTGGGTGGATCGGGGAAGGGGGGGATCTTTCAAATAAATCAGAATTTGGGTGGAGCTGGCAACAAACAAACAAACAACTTTCCCTTGAGAGTTGAAAAAGTTGAAAATTCTAAACTTAAATTTAAAGTGAAAGGTATCATGGAGCTGGATAAGACAACCACTTAGATGTTTAGCCTAAGTTCCAGTTTGGGGCATGGATGGTAACCGTCATTTTACACTAATTACGTAGAATAACTTAGAGTCTTCAGAAGGACAGTGACTTGCACTGGATTTGGGAGTGAGAAACTAGGTCAAATTTTTCAAGAGGTTTATGTTGTTGTTTTGTTGTTTATCTTCTGTATCCAAGACTGGCCTTGAAATCACTCATGGGGCCAAGAATGACAATAACTTCTCAGCTTCTTCCCCCTCCCAGATGCTGGGCTTATACGTGTGTGCCGCCATGCCCACTTTATGTTGGTCTAGGATTTGAATCCAGAACCTTGTGTATGCTAGACCAGCATGCTACTATAGCCCCAGCCCTATAAAATGTTTATGAGTGCTGTGGGGATGTGACAGCCAGCCCTAACTTGATGGCACTGTGTTATTGCCTGCTCAGAAATAAATTGCTCTATCCTCGTCATTAGTGACACTTCCCCCAGAGTGCTCAGACCTGTGTCATAACTTACACATAACTCCCCTGTGGTGGCTGAAGAAGTTTAATATGGTACCATTAAGGTGGGATAAGAATAAGACAACGGTGTTCCAGGTTATTAACCACTTTCTTTTTGCCTCTGTAAACTTGCTTATCGCTGTAGGACTGGGATGAAGTGGTCCTTTTATTACTATGTAATGGAAAGAGAAACCACTGAGGGGAGTGAAACAATGCTCTTGCCCAGCTGTGGCTTCCACAGATAATTATAATGCACACTTTTGATATCCACCTTCATAAACCCTTCCTTTAGCCCCTTTGACACGGCATGCTGTTTGACTCTAAGGTTGCCATCCTTCTGCTAGCGGTAAGAAGAAATTCATTTAACCCAAGTCTGAACTGAGTCTAACTCTCTGGTCTTCCCAGTAGACTTGAACACCACAACAGTGGAGGGACAAGAGTATAGAAAGCTTAGAGACATTAGTTGCTCCTTTTTGACCTCTATTCCACCAAGGTCAATGGAAAACATGCTTTGTTCTGCCTGGTTAGTGGGGTGATGGGAACAGCTGACAGAAATGATCCAGAGATAAAGTCTGGTATTAGGGTTGGGGCAGCAGTCAGGTTAAGTAAAAGACGGGATTTAAAGGGCTTTCCTTTGTTGTTTTTAAACAGAAATTAACCCAGAAACTGCAGCTAATTAGTATCATTGTGAGGAAAATGGATTTATTATCTTTGATCCACCGTCTTTACATTTGAGAATGTGTAAAGGAAAACTCTCTAGACCACTGGTTCTCAACCTTCCTAATGCTGTGACCCTTTAATACAGTTCCTCATGTTGTGGTGACCCCCAACCATAAAATCATTTCATTGCTACTTCATAACTGTAATTTTGCTACTGTTATGAATTGTATTGTAAATATCTGATATGCAGGATATCTGATATGCCACCACTGTGACCCACCAAGGAGGTCATGACCCACAATTTGAGAATCAATGCTCTAGACCCAGGATGGAATCATGTTCTATTTAATGATGCCATACAAATGAACCTATGATGTCATATAAGCATCTAAGGTCGAAGCAGCTTGGATTGTTTCTGGTACCAGGTCTAATTCTTATGTACAAAATAGTATCAGAAAGAGGTCTTGGAAGCAGGGATGTCATTGACTGCTTGAGTTGCATGCTATGAACCTGGATAATAAGACTGCACCATATACAAAATACAGACAAATAGACCCACTGGTAGTCTCCCTGTGGGTCTGACCAGGTATGACTCATTTAAGAAATTCAGTAAGTGATAACTCCTTGACCCAGAAACAGAAAGAATAGTCTGTAAAAGATTGGCTCTGTCCACTGGTGTCAAAGCTATGCTAGCTTATTAAACTGTTAAAATCTATGTTAGAAAATGGAGACTATGTCACATAAATAAAACACAAATAAACATGTTTTAAAACCATGTCTTTGTCAATGGTGATTGTGTTGGTTAGTTTTTTCAACTTCCTACAAGCTAGAGTCATCTGAGAAGAAAGAACCTCAGTTGAGAAAAGGCCTCCATAAGACCAGTCTGTAGGCAAGCCTGTGGGGCATTTTTTTGATTAATGATTGATGTGGGAGGGCCCAGGACATTGTGGGTGGTGCCACCCCTGACAAGGTGTTCTTGAGGTATCTCAGAAAACAAACTAATCAAGAAGAGAGAGCAAATCAGTAAGCAGTGTCCTTTCATGGTCTCTGCTCCAGTTCCCGCCTCGAGTTCCTGTCCTGACTTCCTCTGGTGATGGACTATGTATAACACGGAAGTGCAAGCAAAAAAACAAAAAAAAAAAAAACCTTATTACTCAAAGTGAACCTGTTCATTCCATTTAATACATATGAATAAAATAGTATTTATAATTACCCTTGTTATATACTTTATGCCTCCATTTATCAGAATAGCTTTCTTCCCATTAAATCTTTGCCTGTTGCCGGGCGGTGGTGGCGCACGCCTTTAATCCCAGCACTCGGGAGGCAGAGCCAGGCAGATCTCTGTGAGTTCGAGGCCAGCCTGGGCTACCAAGTGAGTTCCAGGAGAGGCGCAAAGCTACACAGAGAAACCCTGTCTTGAAAAACCAAAAAAAAAAAAAAAAAAAAAAAATCTTTGCCTGCTATTCTATATTATAAATTACAAATATCTAATTTGCTAATTAATTCTTACCTTAACCACACACAAAATGCCTTCATTGGTTTTGGGATCTGTCACAATTTTAAAATTTCCATTTTCGTTGCCCTTTAATATGGTGTAATTAGCTCTCCAATTAGGAGAGTTAACTAAATCTTTATCCTGAACAGTAAGACGTAAGATTTCCACATCAACTGTATTTTCCTCCACTGAGGTCACATACTAAAAAAAGAAAAAGAAAAAAGAATAAAGCTTCATTAATTAATCTTCACAAAACAAGATCATCTTGTGAAGCAAGCCTCCTTCTTACAAATTCCAAAGTACCATGTTCTCATGTTTAAAACTCTAAGCCCTAGCTTCTTCCATGTCATTGAGAGCATTTCATGCCAAACCATGGAGCACAAAAAGATGCACACACTTTCAAACCCACACTAAGTCACGCATTTCTCTCTAATAAACAGCACACACTTACAACAGAGCGAGTGAATGTTGGCAAGTTGTCATTCACATCCCCAATAGTAATGATGCAGGTTGCTGTTGTCTGCAAACCAAAATACTGGCCATCCATATCCTGTACTTTTATTTTCAACTGGTATTTCTCAATTAGCTGAAAACAAAGAAAATGTAACTGTTAGACAAACGCAGCATCTTTACAAGGAGAATCTTGACTTCCACTCGGTAGCTCTTCTGGCACTGATAATTTAGGGGACTGTTGTTATGTTTAACAGCATTTACATCTAAAAAGAATGCCTTGCTCTAGTAATGTGCAATCAGTATATGAAAACTGAGTCGTTTCTCAAATGGAACGTGCTATCAACTCAAGGAATATATAATCAGCTTTACTGACTTTCAAAAGGAAGAGAACCTCTGTGGTCATGAGTACATGTAATATTACATAGCAATGCGAAAAATGTTTTATGTCCCATCCAAAGTATATTTTTATAATCAAAAGTATTATAACTAAAATGACTGCTCTTCTTCTTTTCAAACACCTTCACCCCATAATTTCAGTCCCTATTAATCTTTCCTGTCTTCACCCACTAACTAAAGAAAAACTAGAGTGTTAATGTTTACGATACCACGTGCACCTTTCCCAGCGCACCTCTCTCGCACAACCTCTAACGTACACAGCTTGAATGATGCCTGACTTCACCTGATGATCCTTACAAACCTCACGCCAATGTCTGCCAGGAGGTAGGCACGTTTCCTTTGTATCAAGGAGCATTGAGATTTATCAAAAACAGTCAGTTAATGAGAAATCAAAGAAAGGTTTTTATTGTCCTAAGATGCCAATTTGTATTAGCTGCAGATGAAAGAGAAACTCCAATATTCAAAAAGGCTGAACAGGCAAAAACTAGAATCCTGAGATCAAAAAATTCCTACTAAGCACTATTTAGTAAACTTCATGCGTCCAAGGTGTGTAACCGTTTCTGTCACCAGCATTCATTTACTTTTGGGATTTATTTTCATTATTTGTCACTGTGTGTATATGTGTGTGTTGGGGGGACGTGATCAGAGAGTCCCAAAAAGAGTATCAATCCCCTGGGGCTAGTGGCACAAGCAACTGATACGGCTAAGGTTCCCCGCACAACAGGCACGAGTATGCACCCTTAACAGCAGAACCATCTTGCAGTCCTGTAAAAGTTCACTTAGAGGCTTTGGTCTGGAAACTTAAGAAGCCATTTTGACTTTTCCATTGTTTGTCTGTTTGTTGTTTCTATTCTGAAGGACAGTATTTATACATGAAAAGAGCCTGCAGTTGTCCAGAGGAGAGCATTTAGAAAACATTTTGTTAAATCACATCAATAAAAGCAACTATTTATTTGTTGCCAAGGATAACTTTGTATAACTTGTGTCAACCATTAAGGTATAAAGGGAAGTGAAAGCATGATGCCTTGATAGTGTTTAATCATTCGTCAATATTTGGAAATTTGCATTAAGTCAGGAAATGTAGCCGGGAGGTGGTGGCGCACGCCTTTAATCCCAGCACTCGGGAGGCAGAGCCAGGCGGATCTCTGTGAGTTCGAGGCCAGCCTGGTCTACAGAGCGAGTTCCAGGAAAAGCGCAAAGCTACCCAGAGAAACTCTGTCTCGAAAAACAAAACAAAACAAAACAAAGTCAGAAAATGTAGCTAATAGGAAGTTTTTTTAAAAAAGATTTTTGTCTTATTTATTTTAGTTGTATGCATGTGTGCCATGTGCCTGAGTACATGTATGTGCTGCACATGTCACAGAGGTCATGCAGTCAGGAGGTGTCAGGTGCCCTGGAACTGGAGTTATAAGCAGTTGTGAGCTGCCCAGTGTGGTGCTGGGAACTGAACCCAGGTTCCTAAAAGTGCCGCAAGATCTAACTAATGAGCCATCTCTCCAGCCCCTGTTGGAAATTTTGAGATTCAAAGTAACATCCAATAGTCATGTACTACTACAAGATTAAAGATGATGGACAATAAATAAGCCCGGCAAAATACTGTAAGAATTCAGGTGAATAGTACTTGCTGGGGGAATGTAATAGTTGGATAAGGAACTGAGTCAATGGCTAATAGGGTAGTCACAAATACAGAATATATGTGTAAAATATTCCCACAGGGAATGTCAACATGCTTACAAAAGTCTTAAGTAGAAGATGAGAGGAGACATCTAACACAGTTTGAGATCATGACTCCAAGGTGATACTAGAAAAATCATCAACAGAGGAACGGGAAAGAGAGCTTGCTGACAAGTGAAATTTTATAAACACTGCATCTGAGGTGCGTTTCAGAAGTCCAGGCAGGTAAGGATTGGAGCAGTTAGCTGAGATGGGAAGCGAGGGCTACAATGTGTGAAGGTATTTCTATCTGTGTAAGGGGAAGAATATAAACAAGACTTCTGCAGAGACACACGTTAAAATAATTCTTTCTCAATAGATGACACATTTCTGCCCATCTTGAGAAGGTTCACTCTTTTTATTTGACACTTCCTTGTTTAATACTACAAGTATACTTCCATGAAAAATTTGATTTCATAAAAGATAAAAGTCAGGAGAGAATAACCTCGATGTTCTAAATTAGCGTTCCATTAAGTAACCACATAGTGACCTTCATCTGCATCATAAAAACAATATATTTCCTAAAGTTGGGAACTAATCTTACTTTCCCGAAATGCTCACACAGGTGATGCTCGGATAGGCAGGCATAAGCATCCCTCATCTACGGGGTCTGGAGACCAGAAGTGTTTCAGATGTTTATAGATTTTAGAATACTTGCATCAACATCACAGGGTATCTCAGTGTCAGGTCCACATTTAGACACAAAATTGTTGTGTGTTCCATTCATGCCTGACACACAAAGCTCAAAGGTAAGCATACACCATGTTTTTAGCAGGTCTATGTTTTGGCTGCATCCTGTCCATGATGTTAGGTGGTGAACTGTCTATCTGTGACATCAAGTCAGTGATCAAAAACGTTCATATTTTGGAGCCTTCCTGCCTTGAGATACTTCGGATTAGAGAGAATGTATCTCTATTCTTAAATCGCCACATTTATCCGCTAACACTTGTCATCACTCTGTCCAGCTGAGGCCGTGTGCTCTTAAAAGCCACGCTCTAATCTAGCTTTTTCGGCTGACATTTGTTACCTCTCTGTCCAGCTGAGACGATGTGGTCGTGATCACACCAGTAGTGGGATGCATAGTAAACAGAGTGGGTGGGGAAGCCGACTGCTCCAGGATGGAGTACCTCAGCTGAGTGTGCAATGTTCCCGGCTCATCGTTGTCAGTGGCACAGACCTCCCCCACGACAGAGCCTGCAGAGGAAAAGCTGCTGTTGAATTTCCAAACATGCGCTCTATGTCTCTTATTTCGCTCTTTCCTGCCTACTTCAGAAGCCTGCCGGAGCACTTTATCACAGATCAGGATCATAGTTTTTATAAGTTAATTGATACCAACATAAAATAACACTTCCTTTTAAATACGCTCACATTCTAATATTTTGGGGATCTGGTGACCCCAGCACCTATTTTTACTATATTTTCGTATGGGTGCCTATAAACGATTATGCTGTCCCTCTGTGAACTCTGAACTTCTACTGAGATTTTCTAGTTATTCTTAAGCTCTTTTTCTATTTGCAGGCCTGTGCTTAAATTAACCATTTGAGGCAGTTCTCTCTAAAAATTCTTTTGGTTCAGCCAGATCTTCTCAAGGGAAACCCCCCAAAATTGCAGTCTGACATCCAACCAATTTGAGCCTGGAGATAACAAGACTGAGAAAATCTGTGTATTGTTCTCAGTGACTTTTGATCATGCCCAGAATACTACCACCCATTTAGTCACTAGGAGTTCAGCAGACAAGTCTCCAAGTACTGAATGACTTCACTTGTCGATAGACTCTTCCCTTTAGAAGTATGTCATTTACCTCTCACAGAAATGTAAAGTAATTTCTTTCTTGAGGCACCAGGATGCATGCAGTCTATTTGATAATCTCGTCTACAGATAACCCATATACTGGATAAGAAATTGCAGCTTTTCACATGAGGAAAGGACAGAAGAAAATGCCTCCCAGGACCCATGTTCTTGGCACCACAGTGGGCTGCTTTCCTGTGGCCATAGAGAGGCTCAGTTTATGAACCAAAGCCCATCCAAGCTGCCCTGTATCATTGGTGTAGCTACTTACCAACGGCACTGTTTTCCAAAACTGTGAAACTGTATACTGTCTTTGTAAAAATCGGGTAGTTATCATTCTCATCCTCTATTTTAATGAGGAGAGTCAGTGGGTACTCCGGCGTATACCCATCTGGAGTTGTTGCAAAGGCGGTCAGCTGTGAATAGAGTAAAATCAGGAAAAAGTGAAAATTGTTGTAAAATAATCTTTATTGCACACTGTGAAGAAGTATCTTTGCCAAGGTGCCTTCTGACTGGTTTAATAAGGAGCTGAATGGCCATTAGCTAGGCTGGAAGAGGTTAGGCGGGACTTCTGGGGACAGAGAGGTCTTGGGGAAGAAGGGTAGTTATTAGCCGGATGCAGAGGAAGCAGGGTGAGAGGTAAAAGCCACTAGTCATGTGGCAGCATGTAGATGAATAATTTAAGTTATAAGAGCTAGTTAGAAACAAACCTCAGCTAAGGCCAAGCTTTCATAATTAATAATAAGTCTGTCTCCATGTCATTTTTTGTGAGCTGTCGACCCAAAGAAAAATCCATCTACAGAAAATAACCAAGTTTTGCTTTTGTGGTGCTGGGGATGGGTTTTAGGGCCTCGCACAAGTCCAGCATGCTCTCTCCACTGAGCCACACCCTCAGCAACCCCTCAAGTGGCACTTTAAAATAAAGCATGGCTGCAGATCGCTTTGGCTCTCATTGGGAGACTACTCAGGCTTGAAGCGCTCGCCTTCCACTGCTACTGCTTCAGGATGCAGACATGACTGTGATGTGGAAAGAGACACCAGACTTCCTGTGGAAGCAGAATATGTTTATAGTGATCTACTATACTAATGTGCATAATTTTAACTTCCTCACTATTGCTGTATGTCATCCATAAGTATAATACTTATTATTATTATTTACTGAAAATATTGATTTTTTTCTGTCTGACAATTTTAGACACGTCGATTTTAAGTACCTCTTTTGGATATTTCTTAATTTACACTATAAATTCTGGGTGCAATTAACTCGGGTATTATTTTATTTTCTGTTAGTATTTTAGGTACCACCGTGATTATATTAACATATAACATTTCCTAAGAATGTTTTTATTTGAAAAGCAGGAGTTAGAAAGTGAACAAATGAATGGCTACAGATTTTGTGTGGGATATAATTTATGAGGGGCTCTAGCAAGCCGGAGCAGAGCAAGCACAGGTCTGAACATGGTAAACACAGCACCAACAGGTCTTATCCTTTCCCTCTCCTTTGTTAAAAACCATTAGGTTACGTCCCCAAAGCTAGTCCCAAAGTCCATTCCCTTATTTGATCACTGACTCATTCCTGAGACAGAACACCAGGGTCCAACAATCATAATGCATGATTTGGCTAATATGTCCAATCAGGGTTTAACAGCTCACCCTAGCACAGACTCCCTTTCTTTTCCTTAAAAACTCACTCCTGAAAACAACAACAACAAAAAAGATATGCTTGCTGTTTGCTGCTGCTGCTGCTTACTGTCTGCTTCTGCCCAATCCAGAGGCAGCCGCTCCCACCGCCCCCCCCCCCATGCATGCCCCTCCGGGGTAATAAATCTCCTTTGTGCTGAGAATATGGTGTATGGGTGTGTCCTGTATGGACTCTGGAGTGCCACCCTCCCTTAAATTTTATTCCTTTTAATTTTATGCTGCATATTCCAAACCAAACCAGTTTTATAACAACTATCATAGAAACAGCAGAACATTACAGATACTTAGAAAACCACACTGTAACAATCCTAAACTTAAACACAGAACTCACAGCTTGCATGTCTATACGGTTAGTTTGGTTTCCTCGTGAATAAAGAATGAACTCATCCAAAACTGCATAAAATAATGAAAAATAAGTAAGATAAGCAGGTCCTGCTGGGAAATCAAGCCAGCATGAGGTCAGGTTTTTACAGGAGAACGCATATTCCCACAGGGGAAATCCATGAAACATCCGAAAGACTGAATGAGCTTTGTTACGGGCTGCCCACCCTCCTGGTCTCGCTGTGATCAACTCTCCCACTGCAAAGGGCTGAGGTTCAGCTAACTGCTGAGCCTCCCTTGGCTCCTGTGGCAGACCCACTCCACAGAGAGCTTCTCTAACAAACAAATGGGCTGCCAAAGTGTTTGCTCCCTTGGAAAATTAAAACAGGAAAAAAAAACCCATAAAACCAGGAATAACCTAACAGAAATGAATTTTTATTTATTCCATTCAATTTGTTTGTTTCAAGCCAATTCTGTTATCGATTGCAGCCAGAACGCCAATGAAAACCTCAGGGAAAAAAGAGAAGTAGGTAAATGGAGAGTGAAAGACACAGTGGCTGAGGTTAATAACTGCTGTGCTGGCTAATTTTATGTCAGCTTAACACAGGCTAGAGTCCTCTGAAAGGAGAGAAGACCAGTTGAGAAATTGCCTCTATAAGATTGTGCTGTGGGCAAGCCTGTGGGATATTTTCTTAATTAGTGATTGATGGGGGAGGGCCCAGCCCATTGTAGGTGGAACAATCCTGGTGGGATAGTGTCCTGGGTTCTATAAGAAAGCAAGCTGAGCAAGCCATGATGAGCAAGCATCACTCCTCCATAGCCTCTGCATCAGCTCTTGCCTCCAGATTTTTGCCCTGTTTGAGTTCCTGTACTGACTTCCTTCAGTGATGGACTACAGTGTGGAAACATGAGGCAAATGAACTCTTTCCTCCCCAGCTTGTTTGGAAACTGTGTTTCATCACAGCAATAGAAACCAAAACCAAGACAATTGCTAATACAACACATGATCTTTAGACCTTACCTGAAAGGATTCATACTGCTCACGATCTACGGGACCAGTGCAATACAGGTTTCCAGTATCTCTTTCCACATAAAATAAGTTCAGAGGATCTCTATCAACTCCTGGACCTCTGATGGAATAGTATATGGTGTAGTTTTGAGCAGTATCAGATTGGATCTAGAGAGTAGATATTATAAGCATGAGACATATTTTTATTTCAGCAGAATTTTCAGGGGTATGTTTATGCTATTACACTGCCAGTTACTAGAATAAACAATAGTCGTATGTCTTATTCAGTATTAGAAAAATGCAGCAATAGAATAAAGAATTATGATTGAAAACAAGATATTTACAAAATCCTACAGCAGAATCTTAATTTCCAAATCAAGGAATATTTCGAAGATTGAACATTATAGACATGAACCAAACACTTGGGACTTCTCTGTGTTAGAAAATATAACAATACGAGAGTGAATGGTTATCTCTTGCCAGTCTATTTAAGTCCTGAGATGAAACTGTACTTGACAAAGCATTTTAGAAAGTGGTTTTCACCAGGTATGGTGGCATATGCCTGTAGTCCCAGCACGGAGAAAGTAGAGACAGGGGAACTAGGAGATAAGGCCAGCCCGAGGCTACTGAACAAGACCTGTCCAAGTGGATAAGACAAATTCTGAAAGACAAACATCACGTTTTCTCTCATTTATGAATCTGGACTATATATGTGTGTGTGTGTGTGTGCTTGTGTGTGTATATATATATATATATATATTTGTGTATGTATCTATGTATATGTATATATATAAATGTGTGTGTTTATGTATACATATGTATATATATACTCTAACCCCCATATATATATATATATATATACACATATATGTGTGTGTGTGCTTCTGTTTGTATATATATATATTTGTGTATGTATATATATAAATATTTATGTGTGTGTTTACGTATATATATATGTATATATATACCCTAACCCCCATGTATATATACATATGTGTGTGTGTGTGTGTGTGTGTGTGTGTGTGTGTGTGTGTAACAATTTATATACGACATGAAAGCAGAAGGGGGACTGAAGGAAGGGGATGGGGGTATGGCAACAGAGAGAAGTGAGTGGATAGGAGTGACTATGGTGAAAATACATGATATGCTTGAAAGGATCTGTCTTTGTGAAGCTTAACAGTGAACAAAACGAACATCAACTGAGCTACATGATGAAATCTTGCCTCAGATTGGGGGTGGGAGAACCTCCCTGCTCTTGCAGAAGACCTAACTTTGGTTCCCAGCTCCTACAAGCATCCATAACTTGAGTTCCAGGGGATCTGATGTCCTTTTTCTGGCCCCCACAGGACTAGATGCATGTGATGCACATAAATTCATGTGGATGCACACACAGCCACATAAAACAAATCAATTTTTAAAAAGAAATTGACTTGGTAGATGGAAACTGGTAGGGAAGATGGAAACGGAGCAGCAGGATAGTAGAGGGATGAATATGAGCAAAGCGTAACGATTGAAATAAGCGAAGATGTAATAGTGAACCCACTGTTGTGTGCACTAATTTACAACTTCACTTAGAACACTAGGAGGAAGGGAAGAAACAGACTTGGGAATAATGACTAGAAAGACTGTGTCTCCTTCAGTTTGGCAATTTTCATGTTTATTGAGGCATGCATTTTTGGATTTTATAAGCTGTGCCCAGCCTCTGTGATACCCTTGTTGACTAGGAAAAAATTTTAAAAAACATGCTTTAGAATGCTAGATGAGCTTTACAGCTCTTACAGATTTCATGACTAAAGCTGAAAAATGCGTACACAACTGTTAAGAAATACACATATATGTTGAAACATGATACTTAAACCTTCCATTCAGATATTCACACGCAACTATTTTACATATTTTTGATTAGTAAAGATTCAACCAAGGCCTTGAACATGGCAGCCAAGAATTCTGAGATACATTTCCAGCCCTCATGCAATTATTTTTAAATCAATATTAATTATTTTTTGAAAATAGAAGTAAACTATACCTGTTGAAGGAAAAGTGGGAAAGGACCCAAGGAGTTTTCTAGCATGGAACAAGGGATAGGCGCCCATCTTCTCTTGGTACGGCTGAGAACTTTCTCTGTGTGCAGTCTTTTATTTAGTACCTTGATTTAGAAGACAAGAATGATAAACTTTCATTGTTAAAGTCAATGATGACTTCATCCCCAGACATTAGAGCTGATATATTTGTCTCCTCTTACGAAGATTGGCTAGGGAAGTGTAAACCCATGATGGTGCTTCAAAACCAAACTAATCTTCAATACTGCAGAAATAATAACAAGAATGACAAAGAATAAGACTGTGGTTGTTATGCCAACCATTCTCTTGGGAAAATACTTTGGTGGAAATATGGAAGAAAGAGAGATGGGCTGGAAGAATAGACATAACACTGAAAAGCAAATTCTTGCTGCCACATTGCAATGCAAGGACACAAGAGGAAGGAGATGGAATGAGAATGACTGGGACAGTTAGCATAAGCAGATTCCACTCACCAGCAACTAGCCAGAGCCAGGGGACCAACAGTCATCTGTCAGATGAAGAGAGAAATATCGTGACAGCGCTCCGACTGCTTCAGTGAAGAATGGCCAGGGACTACCGAGGAGAGGTTGTTTTGACCTTTGGTGTCACAATCGATAGGCACGTACATGGTCCCACCCTTCTCCCTTGTCACCTGTCTTCTAAGACTACAAGCCATGCTAATGACACAGGGTAGGCAAGATGTGAGCAAAGGAGGAAAGTTGTAGCTGTGTCCCAGAGGCTGAGCCTCCTGATAGTCGGAAGCTCATTGAGGTTTAACACCCTGAAGCTGCAGTTAGATTGTTTCTGCTATATTAGAAACTTAAGCACAAGGGTATTCTCCCACACGTGTGCCCTAACAAAGGGGCTGCATCCTCCAAGGCCTGGCATCATCTCTTGCATTGTAGCTTGACCCATCTATATACACACTCCTTTTGTGGGCTTTTCTAGAGGATCATGGAAAGAAACCCCCTAAAAATACATGTGTTCCATCATAACTTGACACCATAAAAGGATCATCTTTCCCCCAGAATATGCCACCCATCTCGTGAATATTAATAAAACTTCTTTAAGAGCCACAACACGGAATTCGCGGGGCAGATGACTGCCTTGCACCACCCAATCTCTGTCTGTAGGGTTTGTTTGCTTGCTGTGGGTTGGCTAAATAAACATCTGCTCAAACTCTCTATGTCTTTTGACTGAAGTCTTATCTTCAAGAAGACAAGAACCAGAAACCCTTTTAACACTAGTACGCATGAGGGGAGAAAATTTTAATCAAGAGGGGGTAGTTTCCAAACTCGCTTTGGAAATCCATTCCAAAAATCAAGAAGTGTCACTTTGGGTCCTAACTCAAGGTCTCGGTGAAGCTTATCGCAAATGAGAGGGATGACGAACTGCGATGACGTGTTGCACAGCCAACCCTCCTTCACTAAACACTGCTGACCCACAGCTTTCATTTGTCACCCCAAGTCTTCTCCGGTTCCACATCCTCCTTGGCGGTGTCAGTTGACCCTAAGGAGGCAACACCATTACGCTTTCCGCATACCTTCTCATTTACCTCTGCTGGAACTTCTAAATGGACAGATAGCTCTCTTTCTTCTTGGCTCTCCGCGTTGAAAAGCCATATAGTAAAGCTTCTTTGGCCCGAGGACAAGACAACAGAATTGGTTGTGTACACAGAGCCATCTTCTAAGACTTGGAAATCAGGATCACTCAGATGAATTACATTTGCCGATTTAAGGCAGTCCTTCAGGTTCACTGAGGAAATACATACAGCAGTTCACTTTAGCAGCATAGAGTTCAGAAGTATATACAGTATGTGTGTGCAAGGGGAGAGAAACACTTAAATCACATTCACACTGGAATATTTAGTGTTTTTAAATCATATATGAAACTATATGGTTAAGATCCTCTCTAAACACACATATTGTTTCTAGTGCTTGTTCTACACCCATTTGGAGAGATATTTCTCCTGAAACAAAGGAATGTGAACTCCAGTATTTGAATATTTGACACAACACTAAAAATGAGTTTTTTTTCATAACTAAAATTAGCTGTTAAAGACTACATACTACCTGAGTTAAAGTTATTAAATTGATATACTACTGAAGTCTACACCAAATGTAAAATAGTTAACATATGATGGTCACATTGGGTTGATTTACTTTTCCTTATACAACTAAGTCCTATAAAGAATTGACAGGCCAGTAAGATATCAGGGGGTAAAGCTCTGGTCCTATATGTGTGTGCTTGTGTGTGTGTGTGTGTGTGTGTGTGTGTGTGTGTGTGTGTGTGTGCGCGCACATGCAGACTCACACACACTTATTTAATAAGTTAAATAAAACAAAGGATTGATGAAAAGAAGTACATGGGGCTAAAGATATAGCTCAGGGTAGACGGTTTGCTCAGCATATACAATGACTGGTGCAATGCTGTACAAATGGGCTTGATGCCCAGCACACCTTAAAGAATGGTGGAAATAAAATGCAGTAAGAAGTCAAAATATTTAATGATGAAAATCCAAGAACAACACCTTCAAACTCAAGAAATAATTCCAATATTATTTCTCAAATGCTTAGAAACATACACAATACCATCCATGCAGTACAAATGTCAAAAATTATGTCATTATTTGAACTTAAATCTTTTTATCTTCTTTGGGTAATCATATTTTTCAATAAAAATATGATATAACATGTGTTAAAAATGAATGCACTATTCACTTTTAACTATTAATCATGAATTGCTCATGGTCCTAAATGTCACAGTAACTTTTAACAAAGCATACCACATTAGGACTTATTACAGACTGCAGCTGCTCTTTACCTCTGCCAACAAATTTCTCAGCAGGTAGTTCAGAGGGGACCTGAAGGATCACTTCTTTACAAGCATCACAGGCAAGTGCAAGGATCTAGAAGAAACAGATTAGTGTCATACACTCACAAGATCTTTCTAATGAATATGGAGTTTACCTAAGTCTCAATTACATAGTAATATCCTCTTAATTACATAAAAGAAACAGTAAATACTTAAGTATATGTATAGCTACACAATTTTTTAAAATTATTTTTAAAACTTTATAATTTAAAATTATTTATTATTTGATTTAACAAAATAAAATAAGAAATATGTACTAGAGTAAGAAACCTGAAATATATGAAGGAGATGGACCAAAGGGTAACAGGTCCCCATGGCTCCCTTCTTTACAGTGGACTTAATACTGGAGGAACCACATTCTTTCTTAGGAATGTTTTTATTTTACTTTGTAAAATGAATTTACTAGTATCTTCACTGACTGGGACAGTGGAGTGAGGATCCAGCAGCAACATGTGTGAGACTGGACCAAACACACACAAGAAAGAGAAAAAAAATGAATTCACCATCCCATCACACTGTTTCCATAAATGTTCAATATCCCAGGAGCTACAGAGCCCAAACAGCAGTCTTCTGAACCAAACCTGGGTGCCACCACTGAAAGGCACTGTGACTGCCATGGGAGGGGTGGGCAATATCTAGGTATGAGTCTATGCAAACATGGGACCTTATTCTGAAGACACACCTTCTCACTGACTGTTAGAAAACACCTGACTTCAAATATTTTAAACTATTTAGTAATCTACTGTGAGCCAATTTCAACTGATCGTGCACTTGAAAACCTAAATTTTATTATGTTGTGAACTTTTTCTGTGGATGCCTCTGAAAGATGTGTGCTCCGTTTTCCTCACTTCACCAAAATGATAGGCCCAAAGCAAGAAAACCAGCCAGCATCTATGCTGCTAAGTATGAAGTCCTTTAGCATAAACTAAAATCAGCCGGATTTGGATAAACATTTTCATTTCCAGTCTATCTTAAAGCACCTGTAATTATCCAATTTCAACTATATAGGAATGATCCAATAAGTCAGAGATTACATTTTAATTGCAAAATTGAAATACCTCTCCCCAAACAAGACTTTTAAATTGAAAGTAAAAGACGGGAAATTTCTTTCTCTCTTTTTTTCTTTCTTTCTTTCTTTCTTTTTCTTTCTTTCTTTCTTTCTTCCTTTCTTTCTTTCTTTCCTTTTTGCCAAGAGAGTAAGACTTTATTGTTCTTTACAAAGTTAATGTGGTAACCCCAAATTGCCAACTAAACATTAGGATTTTAAAAATTGACTTTTTAACATTGGAATAAAAAGTGGATGCTGGAGGTTGGGGAGGTAGCTCAGTATAACAGGACCCTGGTTCAGTTACGAGCACCCACACCCAGGGGATCTGATGCCTTCATCTGAACTCTGCATGCCCATGCTGCAGATATACACATAAAATAAATTAAAAAGTTTAACTCTGGCTGAGACTGACCACCCGGAACCACTTCTCAAGCATTCTCACTCAAACCCCAAGAAGCCTGGAGTTACCACTGTAGCTGGAATTTGCATTAGCTATTCCCCCCTCCCCCCATCTAATGTATGGACAGTAAGTGAGCCCTTAGGACTAGAACAAGAATTCAAGACTTCTTAAGGGACAGGGGCCTGTGTATGGTGCTTACAGGGGAAGAAGGGAATTTTCACAGGCTGCCTAGCCAAGGGAGCAGGGGCACAGCCAGGTGTTTCAAGGACTGTGGCTCAAGGAGCCTGACAAAGAAGATCTCATTCACTTAGCCAACACTTATCCATTCAACCAACACTCGGTGATAAGGAGGTGCTAAGCTGAGTCACAGGCTCCAGCAGCCAGCAAAGCAAAGACCTTGCCCTCTACAGATCATGGAGCAATGCACCAGTAAACAAACAGACAAGTGCACAAATGTCACACCCCACTAAGACAGATAGCAGTTACCGGAGAAATAAAGCAGAGAAAGGAAAGAAGGCTGGAGTCTAGATGAACTGAGGGGAAAACCAGTTCCATACTTAAAGAACAGTCTGGAAGATGTTACTGAGGATCTATAATGTCATGGTGAGAAGTGCAGGTTTTGTTCAGAGAGCAAAGGAAAGCAGCAATGCATAGAACTGCAGAGTGGCCTTATCTGGGGTTCACAAGCAGTCAATCAACTGGCCTCATGGCAACAAGACCGCAGACACGTGGGCACAGGAGCCAGGAGAGCAACTGCAATGGCGTACCAGTGTTCTAAGATAGGGTCATGGTCCTTGCACTGAGGTCTCAGTGGTAGAGGAGTTGAATGGCCCAGTTAAGGCAACTGCTTTTGGAAACAAATTTCATTGAATGTCTGCTATATAGTAGACAAACATGATCTGCGTGAAAATTCAACCCCAGGATGATAAGACGTATTTGTAAGCTCAATAGGGTACGGAAATGCCGTGATAGGGAAGTGCAGATTGGTAAGGGAGAGCCAACCTCACCTAGGAACAAGATGAGGTCAACTGAGGCGTGGCCATGAGTCAGTCATGATAGGAGAAGGGAAGGTTTACACTGTAAAGGTACCGAAAGACAGATGAGAGAAACGTAAATAGACATCTATCATACAGTGGTTCTCAACCCGTGGGTCGTGACCCCTTCAGGGGTTGAACAACCCTTTCATAGTGGTCACCCACGACCATCAGAAAACACAGATAATTACATTACAATTCACCACAGTAGCAAAATTACGGTTAGGAAGTAGCACTGAAAATAATTTTACAGTTGGTGGTCACCATATGAGGAACTGTAATAAAGGGTCACAGCATTAGCACGTGTGAGAACCACTGCTATAGTGAATGATGTGCATAGCACAAAGAGAAAAAAAATTAAAGTGGTTTTGAAGAATAAGTTTGGAGCAGTTTCTGAATAGTGTCAACAACCTATGTGCACTTTCTTCTACACACGATAAGGAGCGGCTTTGGTTTACAGTTGGGACCCCAAAGGCATGAATTCTGGGTGCTACGCCCCATCCCTGGATGGTGTGGGCTTGACTTAATCAATGGCTGTAAATGCATGTTTCATTTGATGGCACTGTTAGAAGGTGCTGGAAAGTTTGTGTTGGCTCCCGATTCATGCAAGGAAGTCACTGAAGGTGAGGCCGTGAAAGATGGAGCCTGTACTGTCTCTTTCCTGGTATTCCTTTTCGCTTAATATTTACCCTGAGATAAATAGCTTTCCTCGACCATGACCTTCATCCATGATGTATCTGCCTTGCCTGAGCCTAAAAGCAATGGCATCAGTTAACCATGGACTAAAACTTTTAAAATTCGGAGCTGGAATATAGCTTCTCTCCTTTAACATCTTTTTCTCAGGTATTTCTCAGAGCACTGAAAAAAAAACTGACCAACAAAAAAGCAAAGATTTGTCTCCAGTAAATGAAGGTTTATGTTGGAGTGTGGTAAGTCTGAATATTGTGGAGAAATAAATCAGTGGAAAGAACTTTAATTGAATGAAGACATGTAAGAAAACTAGGAGAATGTCATGAAAAAAATTAACTAGCTGAATAACATGATTTTGAAACATCTTACAGCATCAAAGAACGAACAAA